GTTTGACCACTGTTTGAAAAAAATTCGATTTTTTCCACTCTAGATCTTAAAAGCCCCGTAACTTTTTTCTGTTAGGTTTTTGAGGATTTTGAAAATGTTTAACGTGGTTCCCCCTTGTTAAATTTGGATGTAACTTTTCGAGTAGATGATTTTTCATATTAAAAAACTTTTTCATCCGAGTCAGTATGCAAAAGTTATGCCCATTTTACTAAATTCTAGAGAGATTTTGCAAATAAAGTCGAAATTCACTTTTGCAAATTTTCCCAACAACTAGACCACATATCACATGGGAAACTTATTTTTTTTTATTTTTTTGACATTTTCTTCTATTTTTTTAAAAACTGAAAAGGCGATCCAGGGGGGGTTTGGAGTTTGAAAATGTGGCCTTTAGTACCGGTTCGTGCCATGAACCGGTACTAATGCCTCAAACCCCATTAGTACCGGTTGATGGCTCGAACCGGGACTAAAGGTCTAACCTTTAGTCCCGGTTGGTGCCACGAACCGGTACTAATGGACATCGCGCCCATTAGTCTCGGTTTGTGGCACCAACCGGGACTAAAAGATCCAGATGAACCGGGACAAATGGCCCACGTGGCCCCTGGACGCACGAACCGGGACTAATGCCTCCATTAGTCCCGGTTCTAGACTGAACCGGGGCTAATGGGCTAACCCGGGGTGGACCAAAGCCCTCTTTTCTACTAGTGATGTGGCGAGATTTGGTGCCATGTGCTTCAGATCTATGTAAGGGTACAGCGGTGACGGCTGCAGCTCCAGGGCGCTGGTCCTTAAGGGCACGCGCACGAAGACTTTCCAGTCGTCGACAAGGTCAAGTCAGCTCCGGTAGAGGAGCGGCAATAGCAACACATCGATGGCTCGTTCCGGCGACAGTAGTGGTTGTTTGGTGGGCTTGGAAACTCGATGTAGTCCTTATTATATTTGAGATGCTTTGTACTTTTGATGAACTTTGATTATAGATTTGGATCTTTTTCACAAAAAGGAAAAAAGACAGAGGGAATATGCAGTATCCATACACCCGTTTCAAGCTCCTCTTGTGGTTCTAGTCCCTGCAAAATGTTGCCATGACATTCTCATCCAGCCTACGAATTCATCGCGTATACGGCACGAGCACCGGCCAATCGACCTCTAGTCTACAAACAAACACAGAGCTGCACCAGCCTAGCTTCTCACTCCACACCAATCTACACCGCCTTTGGTAATGTTTTGCCCGCCCTAGTTCTTCACAAAATAATAAAAAATTGCTCGCCCTATACTATACCTTGCATCGTTATCAAATATTCCCTGCCAGGCTCAGATCGCCGGGACGAACTGACGGTTCACACTCGCGGATGACAAGACGTGACGATGCCCCATCACTTCCTTAGGTGGCCAGGGCTTTGGCGGCACAACATGCCAAGACGCCTTTCTGCGCGGCCGGTGCATGCCAAGATCGCCAACCCCTCTTCTCCCATCATCACAGGCTAAAATAATACTCTTTTTTTTTGCGAAATCTAAAATAATACTCTGGCTTCTCCTGTTCCTTTCGTCCAGACGAGTCCCTCCTCCCGTCTCCGATTCGACCTTCCATTATTGTTGTTGTTATTGTTATTACTTGTACTGTTATTTTTCATTCCAGGTGATGATGTCTGGAGAATCATCGTATGCGGAGATTAGCTAACTTGTTAATCCAGCAGTGTTAACTAAAACTGTAGGGGTAACACTTTGGCGGCTGCTAATTAGCAAGTGGAGCAGGATAGCATGGAGGACCATGTGATGCGATGCGAGTGACGGCCGCTTATATTCCAGGGGGGCAAAAGCCAACAGTGCCAGCAAACAAAACATCAACCTCTCATCTTCTTTTATCTCCAGAGTTTTAGGCATCTACGTACGATGCTGACTCGGATCTGATGGAGCCACTCGGGCACTGGGGCACCGGGGCGGCTAGGGGCTCTGATGATAAGCTTCTCTTCACACATCCATGTCATCGCCATTCGCCTCCAACCAAACCCATCGATTTCTCCCCTTTCTTTCTTTCTTTCTTTCGGCGCCGCGGTTCGTCAGGATAATCCGTGAATTCCATGAACATCACCTGCCTCGGGTTTTATAAGAACAGCTTGGTTATAATTTCTTGAGGCGCCGTGGAGGATGACGGGTCGGATGTGGGCGGCCAGGTCGGTGCGTTTCTTTTCTGCAAGAGGAATTTGGATGGCGTGGCACGGGGTCCAGCATGGCGCCGTTGGACTGGCCGACTTGGCCTTCTCCTCCTCCAAAGCAGCCGATCATGTGGAATTCTTTCAATGTGGCCTGTTGATCGCTGTCATCAGCAGCCACTTGACCGGATTCAATAATATTCAGGGCTGTGGATGCACCTCCCGTTCCTCCCTCCTTTGCCCCTTGGCCCCCCTCGTGGTTCCTGCAGTCTTCAGACATACGTAACTTTAGCAGGCATCGAGACTTCCACGGCTCTGGATCATAATAAAGCAATGATCTCAACAGTAAAGAGACTTTGATAACTAGTATTCTTGTCAAATCGGAATAATTCATTTCGTCTGAGATTCAACCGCGAAGAAGAACGACACCTGAGCTAACATAACTTTTTCTGGAAAGCGTTTACCTGGAAATACAGCATGCAATTGTTCCTTGGGTGAAGTTACTTCCATCCTGTCCCGCTCCCCGCACGATCCGATTCAGCGGAGCTTTCGATGGCCTGCGGGAAAAATTGGGCAAATCCGGCGTCGGCTTGAATTCCCAGTGCATCGTGAGGTAAGCTGGACACAACCTTTCGGGGCCGCCTTTAGCCATTTGCATCCAAAGCTGAATGTGACAAATGATCCAATGCCCGCCTAACCGGTAGGAAGATAATTTGCACCTGAAGGGACATCACAAAGGCAATCATGTAGTACTAATGTTTATGTGATACCAAGCAACCAGAAAAGAGGCAGATGATAGTATTCTTACACCGAAAACGATACTCTTATTCGAGCCGCACTCTACGAGCAAAAAAAGAACGAGAGATAGGATCCAAGAACGAGATAATCTTCGATCAATTATGGACCCAATAATTCCTCAGGGAAAAGGTTCTGTGGGTCCCGGAGATGCAAGACTGTAAACGCACTGGTCCAGCTACCAGTACCATGTGCCTCAAGCACCAGTTGGCATTTTGGCACCTAATGCTGAGCCTCCATGTTCACTGATCTGCCATTTCAGGGATAAACTCTCCCACTTAATCAAGGCTTGTGGCTGATTAAGCGAGTACCAACTCACTGTCAAGAGCACTGTCAGTGTGTCGCTGCTTTCCTAACCGCTGCTCGGCAATAGAAAACACGTCTGACAGAGGAAAGGTCGGTATAAAGACCACCAGCTTTTCAAGCACCCACAAGACTTTTATGTTAAGAGGCCTCTGTCTCCCCCTCTCTCCCTCCCATTCTTTCTTTGTTTCTTCCTTTCTTTCTTTTTTTTCTCTTTCTTTCCTTCTTCCCATCCTGATCTGGAGCAATGGCGACGGAAGACGAAGCGCGAGAAGCGGCAGATGGGGAGGTAAGCAATGGCTCCTTTTAGTCTCTTGAGGTTTTTTTGCAGCACTTGCTTCCTTCTGCTTCCATGCATGCATACTCTGTGAAGATGTAAAGCAACACAAAAAGCCTTCAGTGTTGCAGAATCAGCTGCACAGTGAGGAGCATATTTGTAACAGTTCAGTAGACTTTGGCTAGTTTGCAAGAGAAACCATCATTGCGTCGTACTCTTCTGGTTCCACGATCTCTTTGTTTTGTTGAACTCCCTCTGTATGTTGCATCCACACAAGGTTCTTCATGCAGTCAGCTCTGTAGGTTTGAAATGACACTGATCATCACATTTTTGTGTTCCTAAACAAAAGAATCAGAGTCAAAGCATGCAACAAGTGAACGAAACTACATGAGTGATCAGGTTCCAGTTTGATTTATGACAAACTGTCTAAGTTTCCAGAAAAAGATTATTTTCCAGATATAATTGTACAAAAAATAGCATGTACTATCATTTGTTTAGAAGGATCATGTTTCAGGGAACTTGGTGGGCGGAACAAATCAACATATACAAGTATAAGTCTATCATACACTCTGCTCTGTTCTCTTGATTACTGACCGAAGAATTCACTAGCAGTACCCTCTGTTTGTCCACTTGATAATTCATTCCTGAACTTGATATGACGTTAACTGGCATGCAGATTCAATCGATATTAATAAAATACTGTTAGCGAAAACTCAACAAAGCGCTAAATATTTTCTTCTACGGTTCTAGCTATCTAGAGGAAACAGTTTGTCTAGGAATACAGTATAGATGGTGAGAAGGTCAACACTTATAAGAACTGTTCAGCCTAAAAGTTACACCGAGTGTGAATTGTCAATTGTGCTGTGGTAAGACAAAGGCATAAAGCGCACAAAGGTTACTTAAAGCATGCAGAAGCATATAATTGCAGCACTATTCCACTAAAGATAAAATTATATATGTAAAAATTAGTCAAGGCTCTTTGAGTCACGAGGTTGTCCAGGTAGGATGCCCATATGCTAAGCTAAGATTTCAGCTGGTTGCCCACCTGTGTGTTGGCATGTGGTGCTGCTGTATTGTTTAACAAGTTATTCCTGCTATTTTGTTGACCAGTCTCTGAAATACTCTTAGATGCACTGAACCTGCATGTGCCATTCAGTGTCACATACTAGTGAGACATAATGAGCCAGCCGGAAATTATTGCTGTCATGCAGGAAATTATATTTGTAGTATTGTAGTGCTACAGTAGCCTAATGTCGTTGGATGTCCTTTTGATGAATTATAATTGAAAGCACATAATTTTAAACTATACTAAATCTAAGAATGCAGAGTTCATTGTATTCTTTTTGCCACCCTGTCTTTTGTAATTATGCCAACGCAGAGTGGCATTCGGTGTACTTTCATTTAAATGTTCGATTTACCTGTTTGTTTCCCAGGAAGTTCAAGTGGAAGCTGGGGATCTGGGGACAACACATTTGCAAATGAACCTAGATAGCAAGCTTTCATCTCATGCAGAGATGAAGGACGAGGCAAGAGCCATGGATTCAACTGAAGGAATGAAGGTTTCAGAGGATCAAGTTTTAGAAAGAGCACCCTCTGTAGTCGAAATTCCTCAAGAAGATGCTCCAAATGGTACACATGCTTCTCTGAATGGTCATATGAAAGAAGGGAAGATCTCGAATGAGAAGCCACAAGAAAATGGTCAGAAAGGTAACGAGCAGGTAGAAGCTTTGCCAGATGGAATAAGCACCGATCGGAGCAGCACAAGTAATGGCGAAGAGGCAATTGATTCTTTAGACCATGTTGAGAACACTACAGAAGGTACCAGCCTTCTAAAACATGATAATGAAGAGCCAAAGGAACATTGTCAACGAGATGTAGAAGGTGCTGCAATAGAGAGCAAAATGGTGCACAAAGACACACTGCAGCCTGACAATGATGTTGAGCCAACAATTGACGCTCAACAAGGCCACAATCTGGAACCAGCAGAAGTAACTGAGGACACACAACCCACAACCATGCCATGTATTCCTGGTGAAGAAGTTGTAGCTGAAGCACCTGCTGGAGTCCAAACTTCTTTGGAGCCTAATGTGGATGAGCCTGACGCCCTTCCGGATAATAGTGATGGAAACACAGAAACAGTTGAACCAGCTAAAGTGGATAAAGAGAACTGTCCAGAAGATGAAGATATTGAGACCGTCAAACCAGAAGATCAACCGAGTGATAAAACTGACGATATGGAGGCAGACGTGGTGCATGAAGAGGTGCCTAAAAGCAAGAAAACAGATGTACCTGAAGATATGCCTAAAACTGGGCAAGCTGACGAGTCAATGAATGGTGATCAAGAAGTGCTGAATCAAGAATCAACAGAAGAAACCAGTGACCCTCTGCCTGAAAAAACTGAAGAAACTTCTCATGAGAGCAATGTGTCCACCTCTGAGGAGACAACTCCAGAACATGATGCAGTGACAAGGGAGCCAGCTCTTGATGTTCAAGAAGTGCAAAACCAGGGATTAGCAGAAGAAATAGCAGATGCCAAAGAAGTTGATACTGAGCAAAAAGTTCAACAAAGTGGTATTGCTTTTGAGGAGGCAACTCCAGAAGATAATGCAACAATCATTGAACCAAGTTCTGACATCCAACATTTAAATAATGTGGAGTCAGAAGAAATAAAGGGTCTTGAAGATGCCAAAGCTGAAGAATCCTCCGATCAAAGCAATGTGACAATTGCTGAAGATGCAACCCAAGATAAGGAAGCAACAAAAGATATGCAACCAGTTCAAGGGTTGGAAGAGGAAGAACCTAAGAACACTGGAACTGTCGTAATGGATGAAGCTTCCAGTCAACCACATGCTGATGTCACCAATAACCTTGCTGAAGAAGACAGTGTACCAGCATGTCAGCCCCAGGTGACAGAATTAAAAGAAGAGGTGAAGGACACTGGAGCCACTGAAACTCAAGAAATCACTCAACAAAGTCATGCTGCTGCTTCAGAGGAACTAATAGCAGAAGACAATTCTATGGCAATTGAACCATTGAATGATGAAATCCAGCAACCCCTGGAAAAAGCATCAGCTGAAGTTAAGCACGCAGAAGTTTCTGAGACTCCAGAAATCTGCCATGAAAGAACTATTTCTGCTCCTGAGGACTCTGTAAAAGATGATGTAACAGCAGAAGGACCAACCTCTGATGCCCAAGAGGTAGAAAATGTAGCATCAGTAGAAGAAATCAAGGACAACACAGCTGAGAATATCATTGAAACCTCTAGTGTGGCAACTACTGAAGAGGCAGATCAAGAAAAGAATGTGCTAACAAGTGAGGATGTGACTGAACAGCAAATGCGTGGGCTTGAAACAGAAGAAATACAGAACACTGAACCTGTTGAGAAAGAAGAAGTTTCTGATCAAAGGCATCCTTCTCTCTTGAATGACCCAGCTCAAGAAGATAGTATACCAAGTGATGGGCCAAAGACTGAATCAACAGTAGACGTGAAGGAAACTGAAGCACTCCCCCAGGAAAGCAATGTTACCATTTCTGAGGAGCCTGCTTCAGAAGAAAATATAACAGCAAGTGAAGTAACTTGTGATGATCAAGAAGTAAAAAAATTGGAACAAGCAAAAGGTGTCGAGAGCAACAAAGATACCAAAACTAAAGAAATCTCTGACCAAAGCACTGAGGTTTTTGCCAGGGAGACAACTCAAGGAACCAGTGACATTGCAAGAGAGCCAGCTGTTGATATGCAATCGGTGCAGGAGCTAGAATCAGAAAAGAAGAATGCAGAACTTACTGAAGTGAGTGAAGCATCTGGTCAATTGGATGCTGCCGTCATTGAGAACCCAACTCATGAAGATAACCTAACCACAAGTGAGTCGCTTGTGATGGAACCAGCAGAAGTGAGCAGCAATGAAGCCACTGAAGGTCAAGAAATGCCTCAAAGTGATGCTACTCAGTCGGAAGATCACAAAACAGAAGGAAATGTGGCAGTGAGTGAACCACAGATCCTGGAACCAGAACCTGCTGAAGAAATGAGAGACAGTGAAGCCACTGAACCTCGAGCTATCCCGCAAGAAAGCATGTCTGTTCCAGAAGAAGATGTAACAGCAAAAGAAGCAGCTTCTGATATCAAAGAAGTACAAACCGAAGAGATAGTAGGGGAACCTGATGATGTGAGAGCTGAAGAAATATCCAACCAGAGCAGTGGGACTATTGTTGGAGAAACAGCTCAAGACAAGTTACTATCAAGTGACCCAACTAGTGATGTACAAGCAAAGGAGCTTGAATCACAAAAAATTGGTAACAGTGAGGATGTTCAAACTGAAGAAGGTTCCCATCAAACACATGCTGAAGAAAATTTGACAGAAAATGAGCCACAAATAGCAACAGAAGATAACACAGCAATCCTGACAGATGTTCACATTCAGCAGCTTCAAGAGCAAGAACCGGTTGAATTCAGGGACACTGAAGCTACTGAACCTCAAGGGATCTCCCCATCTCACACTGCCTCTGGTTCTGAGCAGTCCACACCAGAAGATAACGAGATGACAGACCCAAGTCCTGCCACTCAAGCAGAGAATTTAGAATCAGCAATACTGACGGAGGAAAGTAAAGATGTTAAAAGCACTGATGCAATTGCTGAGGAGGAAACTCCCAGAGAACGCATACAGGAATCTGGGGCACATGTTGATATACCACCAGTGGAGAATACTGAGCCCGTTGAGGTGCATGACAATGTAACGACAGATGACCTGCCAACAGAAGAGCTGAAGGACAATGAAGCCATAGAGGTTGCAGAAATCCACTATGAGAGCCCTGTTGCAAATATTGGTGATCTCACTGAAGATGCCAAAAGCAATGTTGCTCTTGAAGATGAGGCAGCTCCTGGTGAAGATGTGAAAACAGAGGCAACTGGTATTCAACCACAAGAGACAGAATTAGAAGAGATCAAGAATAGTGAACCTGTTGAAGTGGAAGATAATATAATAGCAAGGGACCTGCCAGCAGAAGAGATCAAGGACACTGAAGCCATGGAAACTGAGATGATCCCTCATGAGAGTACTGGTGCAAAAATTAGCGAGCTCATCAATGATGTGAAAAGCAATGTTGCTCTTGCAGACGAGGCAGCCCCTGATGAATATTCAAAAGCAACAGAGGCAACTCATGCTACACCACAACCGCAAGAGCCAGACCTAGAAGATATCAAGAATAGTGAACCAGCTGAAGTGGAACGAAACACATCAGCAAGTGATCTGCCAGCAGAAAAAGTGAAGGATACTGAAGCCGTGGAAACTGAAGCAATCAACGAGAGCACTGATGCAAACAACAGTGAGTTCACTGAAGATCTGCAAAGCAATGTTGCTCTTACAGATGAGGCAACTCATGACGAACATGTAGCGGTAGCGGAGACAACAGTTGATATACCACAAGCACAAGAGCCAGAACTAGAAGAGGTCAAGAATATCGAACCTGTTGAGGTGGAAGAAACTAGATCAGCAAGTGACCTGCCAGCAGAAGACGTGAAGGAAACTGAAGCAATAAACGGGAGCACTGTTGCAAACACCAGCAAGCTATCTGAGGATGTGACAAGCAATGTTGTTCCTGCAGATGAAGCAGCTCCTGAAGAGCATGTAATAGCAACTGAGGCAACAGTTGATATACCAGAAGCACAAGAGCCAGAACTAGAAGAGACCAAGAGTACTGAACCTGCTGAAGTGGAAGAAAACATATCAGCAAATGATCTGCCAGCAGAAGAGGTGAAGAATACTGAAGCCGTGGAGACTGAAGCAATCAACGAGAGCACTGATACAAACAACAGTGAGCTCCCTGAAGATGTGAAAAACAATGTTGCCCTTGCAGACGTGGCCGCTCCTGAAGAACATGTAACAGTAGCTGATGATACATTTGATATGCCACAAGCACAAGAGCCAGAAGTAGAAGAGATGAAGAATACTGAACCTGTTGAAGTGGAAGAAAACATATCAGCAAGTGACCTGCCAGCAGAAGAGGTGAAGGACACTGAAGAAATCAACGAGAGTGCTGATGCAAACATCAGTGAGCTCACAGAGGAGGTGAAATGCAATGTTGCTCTTGCAGACGAGGAACCTCATGAAGAGCATGTAACAGTAGCTGAGACAGCAGTTGATATACCACAACCACAGGAGCTGGAACTAGAAGAGATCAAGAATACTGAACCTGTTGAGGTGGAAGAAAACATGTCAGCAAGTGACATGCAGGCAGAAGAGGTGAAAGCTACTGAAGCAATCAATGAGAGCACTGATGCGAACATCAGTGAGCTCACTGAGGATGTCAAAACTGATGTTGCTCTTGCAGACGAGGCAGCTCCTGAAGAACATGTGATAGCAACTGAGGCAACAGTTGACATACCGCAAGCACAAGATCCAGAACTAGAAGAAATCAAGAATACTGAAACTGTTGAAGTGGAAGAAAACATATCAGCAAGTGACCTGCCGGCAGAAGAGGTGAAGGACGCTGAAGCCAAAGAAACAGAAGCAATAACTGAGAGCAATGATGCAAACATCAGTGAACTCACTGAGGATGTGAAAAGTACTGTTACTCGTGCAGATGAGGCAGCTCCAGAAGAGCATGTAACAGCAGCTGAGGCAGCAGTTGATATACCACAAGCACAAGTGTCAGAACTACAAGAGCTCGAGAATGTTGAACCTGACGAGGTGGAAGAAAACAGATCAGCAGGTGACCTGCCAGCAGAAGAGGTGAAGGAAATTGAAGCCAATGAAACTGAAGCAATTAACGAGAGCACTGATGCAAACATCAGCGAGCTCACCGGGAATGTGACAAGCAATGTTACTCCTGCAGACGAGGCAGCTCCTGAAGAGCATGTAACAGCAACTGAGGCAACAGTTGATATTCCACGAGCACAAGAGCCAGACCTAGAAGAGATTGAGAATGTTGAACCTGTTGAGGTGGAAGAAAACGCATCAGCTAATGACATGCTGGCAGAAGAGGTGAAGGACACTGAAGCCAAGGAAACTGATGCAATCAACGAGAGCAGTGATGCAAACATCAGTGAGCTTACTGAAGATATGAAAAGCAACGTTGCTCTTATAGATGAGGCAGCTCATGAAGAACATGTAACAGTAGCCGAGATAACAGCCGATATACCACAAGCACAAGAGCCGGAGCTAGAAAAGATCAAGAATACTGAAGCAGGTGACCTGTCAGCAGAAGAGGTCAAGGAAATTGAACCCAAGGAAACTGAAGCAATCAGCGAAAGGACTGATGCAAACATCAGCGAGCTCAATGAGGATGTGAAAAGCAATGTTGCACTTGCAGACGAGGAACCTCATGCAGAGCAGGTAACAGTAACTGAGAGAACAGTTGACATACCACAAGCACAGGAGCCGGAACTAGAAGAGATCGAGAATACTGAACCTGTTGAGGTGGAAGAAAATAGATCAGCAAGTGACCTGCAAGCAGAAGAGGTGAAGGAAACTGAAGCAATCAACGAGAGAACTGTTGCAAACACCAGTGAGCTACCTGAGGATGTGACAAGCAATGTTGTTCCTGCAGACGAGGCAGCTCCTGAAGAGCATGTAATAGCAACTGAGGCAACAGTTGACATACCAGAAGCACAAGGGCCAGAACTAGAAGAGACCAAGAGTACTGAGCCTGCTGAAGTGGAAGAAAACATATCAGCAAATTATCTGCCAGCAGAAGAGGTGAAGGATACTGAAGCCATAGAGACTGAAGCAATCAATGAGAACACTGATGCAAACAACACTGAGCTCACTGAAGATGTGAAAAACAATGTTGCTCTTGCAGATGAGGCAGCTCCTGAAGAACATATAACAGTAGCTGATGATACAGTTGATATGCCACAAGTACAAGAGCCAGAAGTAGAAGAGATAAAGAATACTGAACCTGTTGAAGTGGAAGAAAAGATGTCAGCAAGTGACATGCAGGCAGAAGAGGTGAAGGACACTGAAGCAATCAACGAGAGCACTGATGCGAACATCAGTGAGCTCAGTGAGGATGTCAAAACTAATGTTGCGCTTGCAGACGAGGCAGCTCCTGAAGAACATGTAATAGCAACTGAGGCAACAGTTAACATACCACAAGCACAGGAGCTGGAACTAGAAGAGATCAAGAATACTGAACCTGTTGAGGTGGAAGAAAACATGTCAGCAAGTGACATGCAGACAGAAGAGGTGAAGAACTCTGAAGCAATCAATGAGAGCACTGATGAGAACATCAGTGAGCTCACTGAGGATGTCAAAACTAATGTTGACGAGGCAGATCCTGAAGAGCATGTGATAGCAACTGAGGCAACAGTTGACATACCACAAGCACAAGATCCAGAACTAGAAGAAATCAAGAATACTGAACCTGTTGAAGTGGAAGAAAACATATCAGCAAGTGACCTGCCGGCAGAAGAGGTGAAGGACGCTGAAGCCAAAGAAACAGAAGCAATAACCGAGAGCACTGATGCAAACATCAATGAACTCACTGAGGATGTGAAAAGTAATGTTACTCCAGAAGAGCATGTAGTAGCAGCTGAGGCAGCAGTTGATATACCACAAGCACAAGTGTCAAAACTACAAGAGCTCGAGAATGTCGAACCTGACGAGGTGGAAGAAAACAGATCAGCAGGTGACCTGCCAGCGGAAGAGGTGAAGGAAATTGAAGCCAAGGAAACTGAAGCAATTAACGAGAGCACTGATGCAAACATCAGCGAGCTCACCGGGGATGTGACAAGCAATGTTACTCCTGCAGACGAGGCAGCTCCTGAAGAGCATGTAACAGCAACTGAGGCAACAGTTGATATTCCACGAGCACAAGAGCCAGAACTAGAAGAGATCAAGAATGTTGAACCTGTTGAGGTGGAAGAAAATGCATCAGCTAGTGACATGCCGGCAGAAGAGGTGAAGGACACTGAACCCAAGGAAACTGAAGCAATCAGCGAAAGGACTGATGCAAACATCCGCGAGCTCAATGAGGATGTGAAAAGCAATGTTGCACTTGCAGACGAGGAACCTCATGCAGAGCAGGTAACAGTAGCTGAGAGAACAGTTGACATGCCACAAGCACAGGAGCCGGAACTAGAAGAGATAAAAAATACTGAACCTGTTGAGGTGGAAGAGAATAGATCAGCAAGTGACCTGCAAGCAGAAGAGGTGAAGGAAACTGAAGCAATCAATGAGAGCCCTGATGCAAACATCAGCAAGCTCACTGAGGATGTGACAAGCAATGTTGCTCCTGCAGACGAGGCAGCTCCTGAAGAGCATGTAATAGCAACCAAGGCGACAGTTGATATTCCACGAGCACAAGAGCCAGACCCAGAAGCAATGAAGAATACTGAACCAGTTGAAGTGGAAGAATTCATATCAGCGAGTGACCTGCCGACAGAAGAGGTGAAGGAGACTGAAACCAAGGAAACTGAAGCAATCAATGAGAGCACTGATGCAAACATCAGTGAGCTCACTGAGGATGTAAAAGGCAATATTGCTCATGCAGATGAGGCAGCTCCTGAAGAACATGTAATAGCAGCTGAGGCAACAGATGATATACCACAAGCACAAGTGCCAGAACTAAAAGAGTTCGAGAATACTGAACCTGTTGAGGTGGAAGAAAACAAATCAGCAACTGACCTGCCAGCTGAAGAGGTGAAGGACATTGAAACCATGGAAACTGAAGCAGTCAACAAGAACGCTGATACAAACATCAGTGAGCTCACTGAAGATGTTACTCTTGCGGAGGAGGCAGCTGCTGACGTACAAATCAATGTACCACCAGCAAAGGAGCCAGCACTAGAAGAGATGAAGAATATTGAACCTGTTGAAGCAGAAGATGGTATAACAGCGGATAATGTCCCAGCAGAAGAGATAAATGACACTGAAGCCATGGAGACTCGAGAAATCCCTCATGAGAATACAGATGATAGTTTGATAGCAAGTGCAGAACTTCCTGATATTCAACAAGCAGTCGAAGATAAGGCATGCACTGACACCACAGAAAACCAAGGGGAACCTCAACAAAGCATTGTTTCTACTTCTGCTGAGCTTACTCCAACAGAAGAAGAAACAGCAGTAGTAGAGCATACTCAAGATACACATGTACAGGATGCCAGCAGTGGACCGGGAAGTGACCCAAATTTGCTTGTCCAATCAGCACATCAATCAGAATTGGCTGAAGACAGCAAGGGTCAATTTGTAAAGGCAGAAGAAACAGGCCAAAGTAATGGTGCCACCCTTGAAGAACCAACTGCAGAAGACAATGCTGCGAATGAAATCAGCCCGCTTGCTGATTCTAAACAAGAGCATGGAGTAGAATCAATGGAACAAAACAAATGTATTGATGCTACTGAAGGTGAAGAGGCCTCCCATTTAAGCCAAGATCCTGGTTTAGAGGAGCCAGTTTCAGAACGTGATACAACAACAGTTGAGCCAACTTCTGATATTCAGCAAGTAAATGACATGGATGAAGCAGAAGAAATGGCGGCCACTGAACCCATCAACGGGGAAGAAATTTCCTCTCAAAAAACAGATGTTGCTACTTTGGAGGATCCATCTCCAACAGATAATGAAACGGCGCCAGAACACAATCCTGTTGAGTTAGATGAAGAGAACTTGGGAAATGAAATCAGCAATGCAATCTTGGCAGATGAAAACATCAAAGAGGAAGTACAAGAGCCAACAGAACAAAAGGTATGTGCCCTTAACCGATAGTTTCTTTCATCTATTTGAGACGTTTAGCACTTATTTCACTTGCATATATGTTAGATATTAAAAGATGTAGGTACTGCTAAATTTGTTCAGAACTCCGAAATATATTGAAACTGATATTTGGATGATTTTAATTTTTTTTAGTAGGTCGTTCTGGTTGAACTGAATAAATAACCTCGGTACATCTAATTCCGCTGCAACATTGTATCTAGCAAGAGACACATAGAAGCTCATCATAACTCTGTAATTATCGACTTCTAGGCTCACTACTATCATTGTCTGACAATGATGGTGTATACAAAAAATTACAAAGATTTAGCCAAGTGATGTAAAACTGATTTCTGCCTGAAGTTGTAAAGTGCAAACTAGATTGAAGATTTGTACTTTAAAAGCATTCCATTTCAATATAACAGCAGCAAAATATTACCACTACTCGTCTGAATTTGAGCATGTTCACTGATGCATTTGATACAGGACGAATCATCTGACTTGGGTGAAAAAACTGCTTTCACAACTCAGAAGGACGAGAGCGCTACTGAGGAAGATATTGTACAAATTTCTGGTGAAGATGCAGTAGGGACTTCAAACAATATTGAGCAAATCAAAGAACTGCCAAAATCTGTAATTGAACATAATGCGATAACAAGTGGTGGCCATACCAATGATCAAGATGACGAGCAACTTCACAATGTGGAGCTTCAAATGCAAGTGTGTGAACGGTCAGTGGATGTTTTAACCACTGAGCAGCCAGATGATCACATACAAAAGGTTAGCTTGGATCAGCAGCAGAAACAAGATGAGGCGATTGAAAAGCAAACGGAAGAAATACAGACAGATGAGCAGAAACATGATGACAGTAGGGCTGATTTCACCACAGAGACAATATTGGAGCCCCAGAGCAACGAAATTGACACAACTAATAGGAAAGACGATGCCGATGTGTTTGAGGTGAAGATTTCTAAAACTCGATGCATGTTGTAATTTATCTTCAATTTTTTCTCATGCACCTCCTATTTAATGATTGTCCAGGCTGAACAAACAGAGGCAGTGACTACTGAAATGCTCAAGAATGAACAAACCCCACATATAGCCCAAGAATCCATTCCAAGCGTTACGGATGCGAAGGTTGAGAACTCCACGGAAATAGAAGAAACAACTGAACAAGAAGATGCACCCAACAACACCGGCACTTTATATACTGATGCTGATGCTGAAAAATATAATGAAGATGAGAAGGAGAATACAGAAATAGATGCAGCAGTAGCAAAAACTTCTACTGACAAACAGGATGGAACAACTGATGAAACTATAAATGAAGAGGTCAGTCCAAAATTTTGATTAACACAATATGAGAAATTTAGGCCTGATCTTGTTTAATTAAAAACTTCTATGCTGGACCACATATGTTCAAAGTTAAAACTTTTAGGTCTCTCCCGTACTGTTCTAAGAAACACCAATTTTCCATGTTAGTATATAGAAAACTGTTAAATTTTAAAGGGCGAGATTTTCCTGATACACGTAACTGATATCACCCTGAGTGTAATGTAAAACATTGATTAGCAAGCATTTTTTTCAAGAATTATCACCTCCATCTTGTGATATATTATCATCTCCATCCCAGTACACTTCATAATTAAATGGCTCACTATTTAGCAAAAGCATCATTAAAATTGAAGTAAATATATCAGAATGACTCATACGGAGTCCACAATGGCATACACCAACATATGTTAAGATTTTACAGTACAGAGCTAAAAAACACAGTACTCGTGATTGGTGGAAACTGTTAAGCTTCATGCACTAGCCAACACAACCAAAAGTCCGAACTGGTGGACTTCTCAACAGTAATGCTAAAAAAAACTATGTTTTTTACTCATCATGTAGGTTGAAAATGATTTGGGATTACCTGTCGAGAAGGATCTTCAGAAAACATCTGACCTAGCTTCTTCAAATGAAGAAATGCTAGAGAATGTAAGAATTATTGACGTGATTACTGCTCATGATTTCATATACTTTGAAAATAATAATAATCCTTTTCCAGTTTCAAGTAACTATATCAAAGATGAAACATCTGAACTCCTTTAAAGATAATCCCCCTTTTTTAACAGAAGATGAGATTAAAATTAAAGAAAATCAAAAGTAAGATTGCAATAACAAAACAAATTTTACAGGCAATACAGAATGTCAATAAAATGAAGAGACATGAGCTTGAGCTTTGCAGCCAGTAGAAAAAATTCGTCTATACAGTATCTGCGTCTGTAATTTCAGTGGTAGAGAGTAGCTTGTTTCTTCACCTGCCGTTCAAGAAACAAAGATACCAGTCACTCTCCATCTAATATTTGATGATAAAATAATGATCAGCAAAATGAGAAATTAATTGATGTGCAGGATCCTACAGTGGTTCCTCAGAACGTTGAATCCAGAGTGCACTCAGAAGAGAAAGAATGCATAAACAAGGCCAATGATGGTATGCAGGCCATTCAAGCATCAGAAGAAGAGATCGTTGATGAAGTGGAAAAGGAAGAAATACAAAATGAAGACACGAATGTTAATCATGAAGAAATTGAGACCAAACTTGTCGATGGAGAGGCGTCTGGACTGCAGGACTTGAGTTTTCATCCAAAGGTCAGTATTGATACTCCTTAAAAGTTTGTGCGACCAAATTTTCTGGTCAAATCTTCTTTTGATAAATTATTAAGGCTGTTACTTTATAGTAAGAGAAATAAGTGGGGGGAAATCTGTCATTCAGGTTGTAGATGATAAGTTGGCAACAGAGCAGAATGGTGCAGAAGTTGAAACTGACTCGAATGAGGAAATGGCGACTGGCTATACAGCAGTCACTGAATCAGTCAAACTCGGTGAAGCTATCTACGATAAGGTCAGTGGACAAATTCCTTAGCTATTAATGAAGATTTAAGTTTATTATTTTAAAGCTAATTTCATTTTTTCAATCTAGGCTGGTGGAGCTGATGTGGCACTATCTGATGAAAATCTCGAGACCATTGAGGACAACAGAAGGAATCTTGAGGCTTCACCTGCCGTTACAGCATCAGTAGAAAGTATGAAGGAAGACAATGAACATCATAAGCCTGCTCTTCCTGCACACTCCGCCGTGGATGGAAATGAAACTGAACAGGCATCTGGCTTAGAGGTGACAGAAAGAGAGTTGTTTCCAGAGAAGCCACTCCCCACGGAATCAGAAGAGCAAGAAGAGAGTCAAATAACCACAGAACAAGATGGAGAGAACGTACAAGAGCAAGAAACTGATGACACAGAGAAAGAAAAAGAAGCTGAACAGAGTGATTTGCCTGTCTCCCATTTTCTGATGAACCTGATAATGGGAAAAGAGAGCAATGAGCCAGATAGAAATTCGGAATTTAAGGCTGAAAAGAAGCAAGAAGAAACCACAAAAGATGGCAGTTCTTTGATCACCTCTCAACAGGAAGAAAGCTTGGTGCCAATTCCAACAGAAAATAAGGTGGACAATGAACACATCTTTGAACAAGGAAAACATAATCTAGAAGGCTCTGAAGAAACACATGATATCAAGCTGGAAAAGGATGAAGAGCTCAATAGGAACACTCATGATTTGGAAGCACCAGTATGCCAAAACAATGTCCAGGGTGAAACTTCTAGTGAAATGGTACCTGGTGGATCTGGCCTGACTACAGAAATGGAAACTAGAGACATCAAGCTGGGTGAAAAGGCAACCAATTCTGTTTGTCAGGAACATATGGAAGCGACAACACAGATTGAAGAAGGAAGCTTGAAGAGCAACCTTCATGACATAACAAGCCCAAAGGTTTCTCAAGAGGACACATTAGAGGAAGGAAGAACAGACCTTCAGCACGAGCCTTTACCTGAAAAAAGAAGTTCTGATGCAGAGTCCGGGCAAACACTCTTGTTGACAGAACCAAATATGGGTGATGAAAAGAATTTGCCTAATGACACTGATGATCTTCAAAGTCCTCTGAGCACAAAAAGAGAAGAGTCCAATGAATCTTCCATCACTGAGGCCGAAAGTACTGTAGAGGCAGAACTGGAGAATGGAGTAGACAAGAAAGAAAAGAATCAGCAGACAACCACGACAGGTGGAGCTACAGAAGAACAGATAGAAAATGAGCATGATATCTCGCAGAAAGGCACAGAAGCAATATCAGATGAGCAGAAGGGTGAAATTACTGAACCAGTTATGGGCAATGAGATAAATTTGGTTCATGAAAAGGGGATTTCTGCAGACTCAGAATGCAAGGACGAAAAGCAAAGCTCTAAGTTCTCAAACAGTGAACTAGACAACTCTGAGAAAGCTTCAGAAATCCAGTTAGATGGTTCCAGCTTGCATATAGACCAAGATAAGCAAGATGAATCTGCGGGCGACCAAATTGTGATGGAGAAGAACAACCTGCTAGACAAGCCAGGAGAATCTGATTTGCAGAAGGTGCAGGAAACGGAAGTTGCACAAGAATCTCCTGAAGAATCTGATGAAGGTGATCAGAATTCATTGCCCATAAGAGAGCCTGTGATCAAAGAAGTGAATGAAAACAAAACTGTTGATAGCCATGTGCAAACAGTGGACACACAATCACAGGAAGAGCAAGAAACATTTAATTCACAGGTTCAGGAGCGTGATCTGGATGTGGCTTCACCAGAAGAGGCTCCTGAGGCTGAAGAAAAAATTGTGGAGTCAAAGCCAGAATTCAGCAGAGATGAAGAACAAAGTCCAAAGAAAGATGAATCAAATATGGCAGGAGAGAAAACTTATGATGAGAAGACAAAGGGTGCACAGGAAGCTAAGAGTCTCACTGATGAAGCGAAAACCAAAGTTGAAGAACAAGGAGTAGTACAGAAGGCGTCACACAATCAGAAACGTGATCTCGATGTGGTTTCACCAACAGAAGCTCCTGGGAGTGAAGAAAATGTTGTGGATATAAAAGAGCCAGAGTTCAGCACAGATGAAGAAGAAAGTCCAAAGAAAGATGTATCAAACATGGCAGAAGAGAAGAGTTATGACAAGAAGACAAATGGTGACGAGGAAGCTAAGAATTTCACTGATGACGCACCAATGAAAATTGAAGAACGAGAGGCAGGGCAGAAGGCATCACCTAAAAAGCATAATATCTTATCTGGTGTCGGATCAAAGGTAAAGCACCAACTAGCAAAAGTGAAGAAAGCTATCATTGGCAAGCCTGGGCACACAAAATCTGAATCACCAAAAGTTTGAGAATGGATTCACCTTAGTGTTTGTATATTTTTGTTGCTATTTGTACATTTGTATGCTATTTACTTGAGGTGTAGTATAGCGTGATGGTACTAGTAAACATCAAGGTTTCGCTATGGCCATTGCATTGAAATGTTGTGTGATTGAAGAACGATTTGTAAATATAGATAGTGTGTAAATCAAGGTTTGGTAATTGTTTGAGTTTGAGGCATAACTGAGTGCAATATGAGAAAGTCAGGTTGCTTGTTTCCTTTTTCACTAACATATGTTTGCTTTTCATGATCACCACGCAACATGCTTTGTCTTCCCTGCTACAACTATGTGAGGTTACTTTGTGTTTTGCTCTGGTTCTGATCAGTGTGAGCTTAGAATAATTGAAAGGAATTACTAGAAGGAACATGCAATGCTAACCAGAGTATTAGGCCATGCTAAAAGATGGTAGAAAACTTGAATTATGTAATCCGTAAATGGATCGTACATGCTGTGGTAACTATAAGTCAAACATAATGACTAAAACAGGTACAAGAAATTATGGAAGCATGACTCCAGGTTCGTCGAAAGAAGGGTCTATTCCCAGAATAAATAAAAAAGGACAAGAAGGATGTACTTGTGTTGTTTAACCCAGCCGATGGTACGAGCAAAATTAAGGCTGTGGAGATTGAAAACAGTTATGGACTTATGGGCAAACCTGATGTGATGCGATGGTGAAGATCTTCGCATGATGAACATCCCAATTGCATTGAGCCTGTCCTCTTTGTAATGCCCCACCATATGTCCCCTGTGACCCCGTCCTTTGTAAGAAACAACTTGTGCATACTGCAGGATCTATCCTTCTCGCGTGACGCTCCGTGCCCGTACAAGGTGGAGACCCTCAGTGAGTTAGGAATTAGGAGAGAGGACATGGGCATTCCACTGCAGTCAGCGGAGGAGGACTTGCGTCGAGCAGGTGGTGGGCGTGCCGTGGGGGCGACAAACAGCGCCCGGAACACGTTAACCAGCTGACCGCCGCCATTAGCTGTTCTTCACCCGGGCTGTCCGGCGTGCGGCGCGGTGGACAAAGCGCTCTGTGTGATCCCAGCGGCATTCTGGCAGCCCACGGGCCGGAAATTGCCATGGCGAACGAGAAGCGGCTTGGGTCAGCACTCAGCAGCACCAGGTTGCTGAACAGAACCATCCCGTCGCGAACATCGCCCGAGCCCCCCATGCGCGCGCGGTGCTCGGTCTCCCTTCGCGGCGACGGGGTTCCTGGGCGAGCGCGAAGGAACCGGCCATGGGCGCGCGGCGGAGGTGGAAGAGCGAGCGTCGAACAGGTGGTGGGCATGCCGTGGAGCTGGCCGCGCGGGGACGCGCCAACTGCTGCGCTGGCTGCTGTTGAGCCTTCGCGGCGTCCTCCTCTCTCGACCTCGGCGGCGGCGGCGGCGGAAATGGCGAGACACGGCGGCGCGGACGCGCGAAAGAAGTGTGCGTTCATACGGAAACGGTATGGTGCATTTGTTACCATATAGAGTACACTCTAATTGTTGATCTATATAGATAGTTTGGAACAGAGAAATCACTCAGCGTTTGTAGTCCAACGGTTAGGATAATTGCCTTCCAAGCAATAGACCCGGGTTCGACTCCCGGCAGACGCATCTTTTCTCTTTTTATATGACCTGTAATTTTCTCCTCTAATAGGCTCGCTTTTTTCCTTATGTCCGGCTCCATTTTATATGACCTACTGATCTTTGTGCCGAATTCTCGCAAATCTGAAGGAAGTTTATCACATCGGACTCACACAGCCGTCCCACACGAAAGCGAGGTTGAGCCCGTGGGTGACAAAAGAGAAAAACCCAAATTCAGAAGAAAATAATAATTAAAAGAATAGAAACAAAAGAATGGTTTGCTACAGCCAAACCACCGCTATAGTTTTTTTAGAACTATGACTGCTTTTTTTTAACCAACAAAGATAGGTTCTTTATTGATACTAGCAAAAAAGTCCGTGCGTTGCAACGGGAGAGAAAATATAACACACACTCTTAACTCAACAACCATCACTCAAGACCACAATAGGTCCATCTCCTTTATTTTTCGAGGCATCATATTTGTGTTGCCGCTTATCCTCCTTCTCACCCTCGCCGGCGATGGCCTCGGTGTTCACACAAAACAACAAAAAACGTGTGCTGAATATGGTTAATTCTAAGGCGTCTCTCTCTCCCTCTCTCCTCCATCTCCCCCTCTCTCTCTCTCCCTCTCTCCTCCATCTCCCCCCCTCTCTCTCTCTCCCTCTCTCTCTCGCTTTCTCTCACTCTCGCGATGAGAAATCTGTTGTTTTCCCTTGCGACATTTTTCAGAGATATGCACGTGTAGTTATCGATGTTTTCTTTTCCGTATATGGTTATAGTGGGGTATTTATTTGCGATCCGGATCGCCGCCGGTATGAAAAAAAGGATTTTGCGCTATAAATTATAAGTTTGCTTTCATAACAATATTTTAAAAATATTTAACAGGTAAAATTAACATCATATTTAGATTCCACACATTTTTCTAATAACATTTCATATATAATATGTTAAAATCAAATTTACGGTCTAAACGATACAGATAATTTAGAAAATCATTTGGTTTGACTCAAATATATTTCAAAATAATATTTAAAAATACTTAACAGGTAAAAATAATCTCATATTCATAATCTACATATTTTTCTAATCAAATTTCATATATAACATGTTCAAATCGGAGTTATGATTTAAAAGATATGGATGATTTTAAAAAGCATTTGTTTGACTTACATATGATCCACGGATGAATTACCTAAAACATCAGGGGGGGTTCGAAAAATGTAAAATAACGGTTCGGGTGTGACTTAAATCCGGACGGCGGGTTGATTTCAAGAAAAGATAGGGACTTTTGTGTAAAATACGAAAATAACGCTTCGTTTTAACTTAAAATAGGACTGCGGGTTAAATTCTCTGAAATAGAGGGACTTTTCTGAAAAAATGTCATGACGGACAAAAGAAATCCAATTTGCTTTATTATTAGGTAAAGATACCACAGTGTTTACAGGAATGATGCCTGGGTCATGAGGACTGCCCAATCACAAATGCCTCCTTTGAGGAAGAGAAATAGCATACCTAGCTATGTCATGAGCTTCAAAATTAGAAGCTCGAGATTTAAATAAGAAACTACAAGATGTAAAAACACTAGAAGTTTCTAGAATCACCTTCACAATGTAGTTTCCTCCAATACCTTGGGGCGTGTTTGGTTGCCCGCATTAGGCCCAGCCTGGCCCGCGCGGGAAGAAAGTGCCCCGTTTGGTTTTCTGTGTTTACTGTGCGGCCCGCAGCGTGCGAAACTTAAAGGATGTCTAGACCAGGCCCAGGGGAAAGGCCCGAATCGGCAGTAGCTCGCGAGCCTGGCTCGGGCAAGGCAGGGGAGGGCGACGCGCTTCTCCCCTCGTGCGAGCAGGGGAGATGGCGCGAGCTCGCCCGCGTCGCCGAAAAATCGACGGGAGGATTTCGGCTCACCTCCCGCTGAGTCCACCCCTATTTAGCCCCTCCCTCACCGCCCAACTCCCGCCACCATTCTTCCTCCGTTCGAGCTTTCCCGCCGACGCGCATCGGCACCGAGTAGGTAAGCGGCACATCTTCATCGGCCGGTGGTCCACGGCGTCGGCTCTCCTTCACCGGCCAGCGTTGATCTTCCATGACCGTCCCCCTCGTCCTCAAGCTGCAGCCATGGCCTCTGTGAGCACAATCCCCCTTTCTCTCCGTTCCTTCTAGCTAGATCTGAGCTGTGGCTAGGGTTTGATCTAGATGCATGGTTGATTAGTTGTCTGATCTGTGAGCTGATATGGTTGATTGCTATGTTGCGATTGCAATTTGTGGTAGGGCTAGATGTTCAAGCATGTGGTAGGCTAGATTAGTAGTAGAGTTTGAAGTTGAACCTTGTGCTTGTGTTGATTCGTCTTAGATCTGTGATTTGTACCTATTGGTGGTCCATTTGTAGCATGTTGTTTGTTGTAGATGTATGTTCGTGCTCATAGGTTGTCCGGTGCTTACTATGATAGTAATGAACTATATGTGCTTAGTATGATAGTCATGAACCATGTACATGTATGCTGCTGATTTCATGGATTGTCCGGTATGTTGTGTGCTATGCTTACCGTCAATGGATGCTACGATTGTAGGACATGACCACGCGGACGCAAGATCTTCGTCAGGCCCTTGTCCTGTCTGACAGCCAGTTTGCTCCATCGTTTGTCGAGGATTCGCAGCCTATGTCCGAGATGCCACGTGATTTAGAGGTGTTCGCGTCTGATTCCCTCTATGTGCCAGTAGTGATCGTTGAACCAACTCCTGCTGTTGTTGCTGCCGCTGCACTCAAGGTAGCACCACCAAAGGCAAAGAAGGATGGTAGGTCGAACAACATGAAGTGGAAGCCGTTCATGTCCATGTTCGTGCTGAACAAGATGTGTGAGCTCATCTTTAGTGGAGTTAGGACTGACAAGGGCTTCAAGGAGGTGGACGTGAACACCGTTGCGAAGAAGGTGTTCGAGTTCTGTGGGTAGGAGGTGTCTGCCACCCAGGTGTATAATAACCTGAGGAAGTGGAGAGATCGATGGATCCAAGTGTCCAAGCTGAGAGACCTTAGCGGCGCCTCATGGGATGAGAACACTTGCTCCATAGTTCTGGAGGCAGAGCACTACACCGGCTATGTCGCGGTTAGGTCACAACCTTCTTCCTTTTCATATTGTCCACCATTGCCTACTCCTAATCGCAACTAACAACACTTGTGTTTCATTCTTAGGACCACACAAGGGACACTGAGTTCCTCAACACACCCATACAGAACTACAACCAGATGCAGCACATCTTCTCCTTTGGGCTGGCAACTGGGAAGCATGCCATGGGCTCGGGGGAGCCTCTTGGTTCTCCCGTGCCAGACTTCCCTGGGACCCCGAACATCGAGGTCCTTGATGGCCTTGACAAGCCAGTTGCGAAGCTCTTCGACAAGCCATTTGA